TTGAGCATGAGCTTTTATTGTCATGTTCTGTGGGAATGCGCGGCCTCTGAATGATGTTGCAGAAGCAGCACAGTTGCTCTTGAGTTCTAGCCCTCGTCATCATCTTCGGTTCTTATTTTGCAGCACCTAAAATGTTATCCGCATCAGGAAATTGCGTTTTACTTGTATTCCAAAGCGCAATTACAGGACTTGGCAAAAAGCCAAGAGAGCTGCGCGCGACACGCGCCGCGCGGAACGCTGTTAGCATAAACGATGGGCGGAGTAGGAAGAAATGTGTTTCACGGTCCTGTATCCTGCATTGGAAGATGACAAAGGCTAGAAATGAAGAACAACGAATATAGATGTAAATAAAACAAAAAATGAAAAAATTAAGGAAACGCAAATTAATTAAAATCGCGTGTAAACCATAGAAATACTTTACACTAACGAGTGGGAACGCTTAGGCCGTTTTTATTTTCATGTTTTGTGGGAATGCGCGGCCTCGAGGGATATTGCAGAAGCAGCACAGTTGCTCTTGAGTTCTAGCCCTCGTCATCATCTTCGGTTCTTATTTTGCAGCACCTAAAATGTTATCCGCATAAAGAAATTGCGTTTTACTTGTATTCCAAAGCGCAATTACAGGACTTGGCAAAAAGCCAAGAGAGCCGCGCGCGACACGCGCCGCGCGGAACGCTGTTAGCATAAACGATGGGCGGAGTAGGAAGAAATTAGCGTGTTTCACGGTCCTGTATCTCCATTCCTGCGCATGTTAGGACGGGGAAACCGCTACGCTTCGACAGCTGGGGGGCTGATAGTCACATACACCCTCAATGTGTGTGAGCGTACTATGTGTCTTTGAATAACATGGCGCATCTCAAAACTGCTGACCGCCACCTAGAATCTGTTTTTTTGGTGGAGTACCTGCTCTTTTCATTGTTAAAAGGGTGGTTGATCGACTTGAGGCATAAAACAGGACCATTTCTGTTGTTCATTTATTTGTCTAACCCTTTCTGGACCGCCCTTACGTTTATCTTTTTTTTCACCAATCAACAGTCATACGGGATAGTTTCGTTAATTACGAGATACACTCTAGTCCGCTGCGGACGATTGGGTATGTCAGGCAGTGTGAGTGCGCCACATGAAAACCCGTTTTCTGCAGTTGTTGAAGCATTTACGCGACGACAGTTGTTGGGGAAAGAATACGAACGACATGATACAGTCTTATCACCTGCTCGCTTCAACAATTGGTGGAGAACAGGTTGGCACCGTGCCAAACTCATCTTGCCTGACACGCTTCACCGTCCGCAGCGAACTACAGTGTATTGTCTCGACTTTAGAATATCAAGGATCGCCTAAGAAATCAAGGGCAACGGTTCCCGTCTCGGTGGCGGCGTGCTGTCAAAGACACCGCTAGGGCTCCTGGGTTAGCCGAGCCTGGAAGCGACGTCATTTTTGGAAATGGTGGGCCAATGACGTTACTTCGTGGCAGACCCAAACGATGTCTCAAACACTTCACAGTAGGGTCTGCTCCTAGAAAGGAGAAAGGGTGCTTAAACGAGACGTATCACTTTTCGTAAACAGCACCGGAATTTTGTGTAGAGTGCACTCATACTAGGATGCAGCGTTTTGAGCGACTTGGGCGACATAGGTATCGATCCAGCAGTTCGAGTGCACGCTACGCTAGCGTATGCTCCAACTGGTTGGGTCGATACCTATATGTTCCAAGTCGCTCAGAAAGCTGACGCAGAGTGTAAACGCACACCACCTGATGCGACAAATGGCTGAATCGTCAAAATGAGTCAAGAAAATCGAACCTGAATAATACTATAACTTCGGCGGGATTCAAGTTTACACAAAACATTTCTGATCGAGGACCTATCACAGGTGATAAAGAAATGGACAGGTAGAAGCCAAGTCGTAAAAGGACTGACGATGCCGCTTTTCCATCCGATCTATCATGAGATGAGAGAGAATACACTGTTTGTGGGATTCAAGGACGATGCAGGTACGTTGGTAGCTTTTACTACTTTTGCTTTGTTTTCGAGTAATTTTTTATTGTTGTTCGGTTTTCTTGCCTCAAATTTCTATCTATCGTCCTTCTGAACATTTTAGAGCTTTCAGTCTTGTATAGTGATAAAGAACTGAAGAAGAATAGAGAAGCATGGCAATCTGGAGAGCGAGCTAAGGAGAAGAAATTGGGAAAGGATAGATTCAAATCTGCTGAACAATTAAAAGGCAATGAATTGGAGGGTGTGCTCCCGCTGAGAAGTCGCCAACTTCCCAACGTATGTTTTCGTTACTATATAAAGTGAAACTGAAATGATGTTCATGGAAGAAGGAGGGGTCCCATTGGAAGGCTGAAGCCAGTCCCTTCGGAATTTGCGGCGGATCTTAGAAATTTCGAAGCAATTACTTTTTTACGAAATGATTGCAGAGACAGCTCGGCGACGAGGGGAGGCATTTTGCACATTTGCTACTTTCCATCGATGTTGACCCATCTAGAAAGCCATTTCGTGAGCTTACAGTTGACATGTTTTGCCATGGTCGCTCGTTGAGCCTTGCTCCAGCTCCACAAAAGTTCACAGGCTCCACCAAAGTGAGACTTATCAAACCGGAACAAGTGAAGGCTGCGAAAATGCAAATGCCCCCCCCACCCCCACCGTCGCCGAACTGCCCCATTATATTGCACACTCATAGTCGAGAATTTCCTGTTGGAATGAAGTTCCATTAGAGAATCGTACCAAAAAGGTTTTATAAATGATTCTATGTCTGCTTCAGTAAAGATTTTTCTTTTTCTTGTTGTACACTTGCCAGTTGTGGGCGGCGGCGAGGTGGGAGGTAGAACGGGCCACAAGAGAGGCTGCCCACAGTCAGGAGGCTTACTTTAGAATCAGCTCTCATTTGTGCCATTCAAGCCTAGCATCTCCTCGGGGCCGGATATTTGGTATGAGCGTTTTGGCTACTTGGTATGAGCGTTATTCGTGACAGGGTACAGCATCGTGATGTGTGAAATGTTAGTGAAGGTACGACCCCCCCCCCCACCCTTCTTAAAAAGGATGGCAATACGACTCTTTTCCCCAGCACCTACCTGCCAATTTCCTCCCATATTTTCCGGTCCAGTCCAGTTTTTCCACCCAAAAATTTTCTGTCTAGCGGGAGAGCGGGGGAAGATATACAGGGGGGGGGGCAAAAAAACACTTCGACCGAGTCACATATCAGCAAAGTTTTCGCAGCCCAGACAGAGGACGTGGATACGAGTACCAGGGCGGAAGATACCCAAGATGTTCCTCTATAAGCAGGAGCTGGCTCTCGCCCATCACCTTCATGTACACCAAAATATGAAGTCATCTCCAGTCGCAGCCTGACTGGAGAAGACCTTTGGAATTCACGTCACCTCCAAACTGCGAAACTTCTTGAATGGAGTCACCCATGGATAGCTACCTGGAGACCAGTACTCTCGATCTGGAAGACCTCCATCGAGCAGCTCCGACGTCGCTACGGTCCAGGACATCATCTTCACCGCAGTCGCCAAGGCGCGGGTTGATGGTATGGACCGGACGTACCTGGAATGGAAAGACCAATATTTTCTTCGTGGACCCCGGACTGAAGGTGAGCGCTGGCGGTTACATACCTTCTTGGAAACTTTGTACTGCTACAGCATTGGGTGCCACCA